AGGATTTTCGTTGCAAGCAATTTATTATATTATATTTGTGGCAGTCGTTAATTCCCGGATTTGAAATTCTGACCACAAAAGAATAATATAATTATTGATTCTTTTATAAATACTATAAATACTATAAACTCGTTTCGTTATAATAAATATTTGTTGTAATTATAGCTTTTTTTTTCCTCGATCGTGACACGACGCCAATTACCAATAAATAAATAAATACTATTGATATTGCAATTGCGGCACGGATATTATCGTTTTCTACGAAACCAACACGCAATTCGACGATTACATCATAGATATCGGCCACGCGTATCGACATTGAAATAAAAAAGAAAGAAGAAAAACAAGGGAAACGGATCATTATTCATTGTACACACACATACATACATACATGTATCTGTGTGTGGATACGCTTCGTCGGCGACGAGACTAGCGTAAAATTATAAAGTCACTCGGGTCGCGGTTAATTGCCGTGAATTAATAACCACCTCGATACGAAATTATATCGCGCGAACGGCCGAGATATCGCAATCGAACGGACGGAGTTTCGCTCGCTTCTATGGAATATAGAAGCGTGCGATTAAAAAGAACGGTGCGCTGTTTAATTACGATTTATTTTTATCGCTTCGCTGTTTCATCGAACATTGCCGGAAAAGTTGCAAGGAAAAGAGGAAACAAAAGGAAAGCGGTAGCGAATAAAAATCGGAGAGAGCCGACTGAAAAGAGAGGGAGAGAAGAGAGAAGGAAGTTTGACGCGAAAAAATATCGCGCGAAAAATATTAATTCCGCGCGATTATGTCCGCGAGCACGACGCGCAGGACGGGGCAACAACAACGCGGTGAAACACGCGCGCGACGCCGGCCGCACGCGAAATTAGAATTTTAAATCGAGCCACGTGTAGCCTGTTTAGTAAGAAAACATTTACAAATTATTAACTCGGGATATATGTACGCCGGCGTCGTGTGTTAACCGCACGAAGGGGCAATTACGAAACTGATGTAGCAACAAACAACTCGGGATACGTTCGCATTCGTTCCAATTTGACCGAGGCGATTTTCGATTTTCTTCTCGGTATTTTCAATTAAGCGAACCGCTACTCGCGGATCAAGTCCCGAACGTGTAATTGTTGCCAACTCGTCAAGAGAAACTCGCGTGCACGCGCGTCACACTTCGGTGAATTTTTATCTCCGATAGAAAGACAACGAATCGTACTTTGCCAATTCATCGGGGCTTTATTTTGAAAATAACACGTGGGCGGATTAAAGCGAATAATCTTTTGTTCGAGTTAATTCGTGTTCGCGAAATAATCAGTTGTACTTACGTTGCATCAAATCGCATTGGAAATTAAATCACGATTTGATCAGAAATTTTTTTTTTTTCTTTTTAGAAACAAACTGCGTTAAGTGACGTTTAGAAATGGGGCAAGTCTCCTTTGACGCTTCTCGTTATTTTGAAAAGCAACACGGGGCAACGAAATGACAAATGACGAACGCGTCCAGCGGAAAGTGAAGTTCAGAGAATCAGAAATTGTTTGGAGGAATTACTTGCAGAAGCGAATGAAAAACGCACGATAAAATGAGGAATTATTTGATTCAATAGTGAAACAATTTCGAGAAAGATTACTTCCTTGTCCCTCGAATAAATTAATGCGAAATTATTAAATATAAAATAATATGTTGCATTGTTCAGTGTTTATGTTTTTTCTCGTGCAACGTCCAACAAAACAATATGAAACATATTTGTCTTTATTTCTTTCCTTCTTCTTCCCCATTTGCGATTTTTCTTTGATCAAAACGAATTGAAAAATGCAATCAAAGTTTTAATAACTTGTTCGTAAGATAAAAGTGGCAGGAGTTCAATTTAAAAAAAAATAAAAAAGAACACGCGAATGACAAGCGAGATTTCAATTGGTAAGTAGCTCGGCATAATACTTCGTAATACTTCAGCTTAATTAAATCTTTTCAACTTCGATCGCCGACTGAGGCTGACAGCCAATGAATTCAATAGACTATTTATAATTTTCAATTTTAATTTTACGCGTTCCTATAAGTTTCTTTGCAACGAATCGGTCGACAGTATAACTCTGTCAATTCCCGAGTAATTCTTCAAAACGTCTGTTCTCCAATGCACGTTAGAAATACGTACATTACACACATCCACGATTCTTTGTTAATAAAACACGTGTTATGTGAAAGCATCTGCTCTGGCGCTTGTTTCTTTTTTTTTTTTTTTTTAAATAATATTAAGTGACTGACGAAAATTAAACGATTGAAAAATAGACAAGAATCAACAATCAACATGTGTTTCGCAGAGAACACGTGGTACACACGATCTTAGTCGTGTGAAAACAGTCGAAGATCGTTGCGCTTCGGTTTCGCGCTGGACCTTCCATTGGAAACGCGGTTTACGCGCGCGAAATGAACAGGCACCTTTTCAATCGGGTCTCGGTGAAAGCCGCTCAAAGGCCAGAAAAGGGCTAATAGTCGTACAAAAGTAACGACGTCTTTAAACCCGCCTACGCATCACCAGTCTAATTCCTTAAAGTGCTCTCTCGCTACGTTAAATCACTTTATCACACGCCATGGCCGCTGCGCGCCGGTTCCCCACCCTACAGGGATGTAGAATTCATTCGGAACGGTTGAAACGGCGATATAAGAGCCGCCGTTGGGAAGATCTCTTTTCCGAACCATTATCACTGCTTTACAGCTATAGCTCAGTCGGAGTTGTCCCCCTCCCTCTGCAACGACTTTTCAACTTTAGCCTGTTGCTAAGTCTCCACATTATTTCACTTTTCCCTGAATTTTCCCTGCTTCGAGATGTCGATTTCGGGGCGCGTTCAATTCGATTACGTGAAGAGAGAGATTAATCAGTCGTTGACATACTTGAGATGACGAAGGTTTAAAATTAAAATTTTGTGCAAAGTTAAAACAGTATGGTCAGTTAAAGTTACATCACGCGAAATGTTCATTTCTGTCTTTGTTACCGGACCTAGCAAGGCTCTATCGTATTTGGAAGGGAAGAAAATTTATTCTAATTATAATTGTTAAAAGCGATGACAAGAACATATTTTGTACGCTTTAAAATGTCCATGGTAATTGCATGGCGGATTTCGTTCTAATTTATTTACATTTTCTCGTAAAATGTGACAGACATCGTCACTTCTCTTTGAAGTTCTTAGAGTTTACACGCTGAAAATCTTCGTTTGAAATCTGCAGATATTTGTAGATCGATGGGATTCGCAGAGAGACGTTTCAAATTGGTTTCATGCTCTTAACGACGATCTCTTGGATGCTGAAACAGACAATAAATGTACAATTATAAAGTGTAACAATAATATTTATAATATTCATTTATTTGTATTTACGTAATAATAATTGCAATTCTACTTTACGTTTATATGGAATTTTCACAAGTTCTACAATTGGATGTACTTTTCTCTTCAATTACCATTATCTGTTGGAACAATTTAAGAAACCAGAATTCAAACAGTTCAAAATTTCATCGCGAACATTTCTTTTTAGAAAAAGAAATACATCGCGAGACAAATCTGATTCAATCATGCAAAAATGAAATTGTCCGTTGTCCAGAGATTAAATATATAAATTACTCTGCAAGTCGCGAATATTAAACCTCGCGTTCTAAAGTAATTACAGTTTTATCGCAAACGGGTCAACTCGTTCGATGCGGAGCTTTGCGAAACAGAAAATGCTTTAGAGGTTTCTAATTTACTAGTTTAGCGTTCCTATCCGCGATTATTATGCCAAATACCATTGCTTTTTCCCTGAGCAGGGCAAACAACCGTGTAGAGCAGATAACGCGTAGAGTTAGATAGAGTAGGAAACACGTGGAATCGCGCGAGATCAAAATTTGAATTGTACAAATATCCGGTACTATCAGTTATCCTAATGGATATTATTTCCTAAACGATCACGCTGATATTAATCAGTGGCTTAGAATATGATACAACATCAGATATGGTATAACGTATCGGTTATTTTTTTCGATCGTTACGATTTAAGAATGTTAATCATAGCGTCCCATAAAATTTTGTATAATATATCACGTGAATATGTATTATATGAAACATTGAATGTGAAATTTTATTAATGTGATTTGTTTATTTATCAGCTTGATGATACATTGAGCTAGATATATGAACACTTAAATACAATTTAAAAATATATATATGACGAATAAAATGATAAAATTTGAAAATATTGGTGTCGTTGTGAAATGTGGCTAGTTAACTGCCACTCTGTATTTTTTCTTCCAGGCTGAGAGTACAATACACTTTTCTACGTAAATATGATTATGGATTTTAGTAGAAATGTTTTGAATAATACGCATAATGTATTCAACAATACACAAGAATAAAACACAAAAATATTCTTACATTCATTCGATCATTTTCGTGAGCAGTTACTATCATGTATGCAGGACAGTATCATTTAAAACTGAAAGTTGAACTAGAGAAACTAATAACAATAATAGTAATAATTAACAAGAGATAAATTATTTTGGACAAAGAATTACAAGATAATAATTAGTATTTTCTTCTAATTAATGAGCGCGTAATTCGATCGAGATCACATAATACATATTTATAATGTATAACTCGGTCCATATCAGCGCCTCTTGTAAAAATATGGAAGAGTTACTAGTTTAGAGCGAATACAGTGGTAAAAAAAAAAATATATTTACATCTATCGTATCATTTACATATCATTTACGTTACTTCATCAATATTCATTTATATTATATTTCTACATTCAATTATTTCCAATTTGCATCGTTTCACGTCAATCAATGAAACTTGAGATTAAAATTAAAAATGAAAAAGCTCGCGTTTCAATTGGAAAATAAGAGCGCGCGCGAATACTTTTTTTTTTTTTTTTGATCGTATGAAACCGATCGCACGCGCGTAAATGAGTTGGAATTCCATCGAACATGGAACTACATTATTAAATTCACAGGTTGATTATATAAAACGGGCATCAATAATCACGAATGAAACGTGACACGTGAAACGTCCATCGTGCTTCTTACAACAGCCAGAAATTCGCAACGATCACGATAGGAAGAATCGCGCGATCGAACGCGAGACGATTGCCAGGCGCTCTCGCGATCGTTTTAACGATCGTCTCGATTAAGCTGCGCTTGGTTTCCTCGACGCTCGGCTCTTCCTCCCATCCCGACAGCATTTCTTCGATATCGGAGCTGAAAACACACTCTCCCCGATCATCGTCGTAAACGTAGCCGAATTTGCAAACGCACTCGTAGCCACCGGCCAGGTTCATGCAGATTTCACCTTGTTCCATCGCGCAACCGTGTCTACCGCGAGTGCACTCGTTCACGTCGACGCAAAGACCGAACCTGGATGACCATTCGTAGCCGGGTTCACGGCACTCGCAGCTGATGTTGATCTGATTCGCCAGCAAGCCGAGGAGATCTTGATTCTCTTGCCGATTCAACGAGCATGCCCTGTGCTCTGTATGAAATCGAGAAAGAAGAGATCGTCGGATCGATGATACTTTCAGGTCTGTTAAAAATAGAGTGGAGATGATGGGATCTGAGATTGACGTTGACGTCGAAATTCGAATCAGTTCGAAGAATATTCGTTTGAGGTTTTGAAATTCGAAAATCTTGGTTAGTTTTTTGAATATCTTGAAAGTCTCGAGAGTTGCTGTATCTAGTCACTTTTGGTTTGATTGTTGACGTGAAATTTATTAGCTCTTTGAGAGTATATCTCGACGCGTTCTAAATTACACGATACCGATAATTATATAATATACAATTAATACGTAATATACTAAATTACACGATACCGATAATTATATAATATACAATTAATACGTAATATACTAAATTACACGATATCGATAATTATATAATATACAATTAATATATTATTTAATTAAATAATTGAGACACAAAGGTAAACAATTAAAAAGAATCACATTTGTTCAACTGCATATAATTAAATAAATATAAATTTAATATATCATTTGAACTGAAAATCATGAAACGCCCAAGGCCTGAATCTTGTTCAAGCTCTGAGACCTGCCAAGAATCGAAAAAAAAAACGAAGAATGCTGCTTCGAAGTAATTCGAACTCGATACAAATTTGATCTCAGATCGTTACAGGTAGCTGAAGCGAAGATGGTCGATTAACGAACATCTGGCAGCAAGCGTGAAACGCGATAACAGTGTCTTGGACGAGCGAAATAGCGGGATATCTGGCAGAATGTTGGATGTTGGGAGGATCGTTTGGATCGAAAATTGCGGGAATCCTCTTACGGCTGGGAGTGTAAGGTGATTTCTACGCACCCGGCGGGTTCCCAGCGTAACAGGGATTGTCTTGCGACTGATGGCAATCCGTCATATCCCGGATATGCTTCATGGGGCAACAATGATCCGGACAGAAACTATAAAGGGCGCAAGCATAGGGTATCGTGTCGTCGGCTCTTGAGTCCTCGTTCCCGGCTCCGGGCGATTCGACCTGACAGTTGGCGTAATTGTCGCACGACTCCCCGAAGATACTCAGTTCCGGCACACCGAGCATCGTGTACCAGCACATGTAGTAACTGACCGTTGTGCGCCACTGGAACCGCTCTAAGTCGACATTTCGTTTTGGTTAACCCTTATCTTGCAACAAGTGCCGACGATAATGTATCGTTGCTGGTGATGGTATATATGCATACACACACACACACACATGGGATATTTCTAGAAAACTGAATGAACAAATGTAAAATTATACTTTAGAATAGATTGCTCTTATCAATCGAATTCAATCTGATCAAATTTATTATTTATTCAAAATTATCAGAGGCTATCCTTTGTAAATATGTATGCGTATATATATATATATATTTACAAAAGATAGCCCCTGATAATTTTGACTAAATTAAATTCGATCAGATTGAATTCGATTGGTAAGAGCAATCTATTCTAAAGTATAATTTTACATTTGTTCATTCTGTTTTCTAGAAACATCCCGCGTTTCTTAAATTCCTCTTTTGTCCGTCACTATACATTCCTTTTTCATTCAACCGTTTCCCAGTAATCGAATTGCTTGACAGATTTCTCTCTCTTTCTCTCTTTCTCTCTGCGTATTGTAATGGAACGTTTGTAACGTGAATGAATCGAAGCTCGAGAAATAAAAAAGAAAAATACCCTTGTTGGATGGATTTTTTTCCGATATCGATCATTAACCTTTCTCTCTCTTTTTTTTTTCTTTCTCTTGTTAGAGAGATCTCGAGGGAAGCACGAGGGTACTTGCCTATCGGACCTTGAAAGGGGGGCATGGTTAGGTCGTCACGCCTCTGAGCTGCCTGACAGTCCTTTTGAGCCGCCTGGATCTGCTTGGCATTGTCCGCGAGATTCCATTTCTGTTCTTTCACGATCGTGACAGTGTCGTCTTCACGTTTCAGGGCAGTCGATTTAATGATCGTTTCGAGGTATTTCAGGCACTCGACGAAGCTCGCGTCGCAATATCTGCGTACAATCATCCATCGTGTTGCTCTTATGTACATACGTATCGCACACGCACTTTACTGAGGTTGTTAATACTTTGCGCTAGTGTCACCGTATCTTCAATATGCATCAGTGACATGGTCACCAAGCACGAGGAAATGCTGTTATCTATTTTGGAAAAATTCAACGTCGTTTTTTTTTTTTTTTTTTAATTTCTTGCACATAAAAGTGAGAACACGATAGTGTGTAACAATCATGATTATTCAGTTCAAATTTAAGACACTGGAAATATGAACGAATTATGTGCTATACGCGATATTTCAAACAATGAAATTAGTTGCCGTGATTTAACAAAATAAATTAATTTCAAGTCGTTGCAAAATTAAACGATTGAACTCTTCGAGGTTCGATGCTTTTAGTTTTTTCTCTGTTTGTGCCTTCGTTGAAAAATCAACTTTAATGGCTTAATCCACTTTAATTTCAATTGGTATTATTGAACATTGGCGATCATAACGATATAAAATTCGACTGTTCAATTCTGGAATTTATCCGAATTTCATTACATTCTTTCGTGAAGAATTTACAACGAAATGTGCAAAATTAATAATTATTAATAACCACTTCCAGCGGTATTGATTCATTTTATTCAAACACTGCAAAACTAGAACGAAGTAACAAGTTCAATAAAATGATGGGGAAAAAAAACTGTGCAACGAATTTCAGGGAATTGTTGTACTTTTACAATTTTTGAGAAAAAAGTATCTACAACTCCGAGGTCATCTACGAAGAAGACACAGAGGAATGATCCTACAATTTTAAATTTAGTAAATCACTCGTATCATTCTACAATTCTTCACAATTAAATTACATAGTGGCAATTTACAAATTTAATCGCAACTACGAGTCACAAGTGTAATTATAATTCACGGTACGATGAAATCGACGAACCGACAAGTGTAATTTCACAAACGTGTTCTAAAATAATTCCAACAATTTGCCGTTTACTCGTTTCCTTCTGTTTTGAGTCCCCGCGCCGGGGAAACATTTCGATTTCGAATCGTTAATTGCAACGCGGCGGCAACACGTACGTACGTATTTACCGGTATCGGGCGCGGGAATTTCCCACCCACGATTCGAGAATACGATGCCGAGCCATCTAGCCAAAATGGCAAATGACCCCCACCAGTACCTACGTACTTCCCAGTGCAAAGACTTCAGCGGCGGTTTCGGGAATTCCTCGTAAAGTCTGCTCGGCGAATCTTCCAGCCGTTTGTAGTAACGGCGGTCGTAGTCTCGAAATTTGTGCGCCCGTATATAATAGGCGACGTCCCGTATAACCTTGTTCTTGTCCCAGTCCGCGTCCCACTCCTCGCTGGCCTCATCCACGTCCGGCACGTCGGTTATTTTTATGTTAGGATTCATAACCTGTTCCGTCATCGGCACGGCCTCAATTTCCTTCTGGCCCTCCTCCTCCTCCTCTTCCTCTTTCTTCGCCTGTTCCTCGTCTTCTCCCGGTCTTCTCTCTCGATCCTCCGCGGCACCAGACGTCGATATTGTAATTGGCAATGTCGTCCGCTCCGGCGCGCAACGCGCACCGAACACGCAGAGATGCAGGAACGCGTGCCATATTATTCTCATCGTCGGCGGCCAATTTCCATATTTCCGATGGCCGATCCTACGCTGTTCCGTCCGGCGGATGTTAACGCGGGAGCAAGATAAATATTTAAATATTCGTACGGCGGCGGGCAACGTCAGACGAGATCGAGTCTCTGCATTGCTTGGCATGCAAATCGAAATGGAAGAAAAACTCCCGGCTCGCGAAAATATGAATTTTAATTTTTTAATAATAATCGCTATTTTTTTTTTTTTTTTTTTTT